CTAATGGTTTTTCAGAATTTATGATACAGTTGGACACAAATACTAACTTACTAGAGTCTAAAATGGAAGAAATTCAAGATAAATTGGACAATAGAACTCAAAAAATTGAAAATGATTTGATAAACACTCAGGATAATAGCTCAGAAGAAAAACCTAAAATGGATGCTGATCAAAAGTTTGGTAATGTAGAAAATTTGCAACAAAAGATTGAAAAAGAGATTCTAATGGTACAATATAATTTCACAGAATATGCGATAAGATTAAGAGGTTTTTAGGAAAATAACAGAGATGATTTAAGGAAAATATCTTCTGAAATTCTAGCTGGGATTCTAAAGGTTCAACCTGAGGAAGTGTTTTGTAGGATTGACAGAGTTTATCAAATAAACTCTTGGATTGCCAAGCAAAGGCAATTGCCTAGAGATGTGGTGATTTATTTTACAGATAAAGAAATTAGGAATAATATCGTGCAAAATTCCTTCAATTCTAATTTGCAATTGTATGGAAGAAAGATTTGGATTTACAAGGAACTCCCACCTAAGATATTAATGGAAAGGAAGAAATTTGGTTTTTTGGTGAATGAGTTAAAAAAGAGAAATATCCCATTTAGGTGGGACGCCCCAGTTGGTATTATATTCAGATATCAAGGAGAAAGATACCAGCTAAATACTGTTGAAAGAGCGGAAGAATTTTATCAAAATAGGTTGAAAACGAACTTAACATCTTCAGGTATAATACAGGATAAGCAGAAGGAGCTGGAAATAAAGGTAAAATATCGAATTATAGAGACTGTACCAGATGAATTGCCTTTGGATTTATCGGACACCCCAGCTGGGCTATATACAAATTTGAGAGAAGTGGCATCTAATCTTAATGTGATGACTTATCAAGGCAAGGACAAGCATGGAAATCAATTAGGGGATACACAAGGGATAAAAAAGAAATATGAGACACAAAAACAAGACCAACAAGACCAATCTACAAAGCAGAATGTAAACCGACCAGATGATACACAATTTGTAGAAAGGAAACCAGGATGGAAACCAAACCCACAAAAAGAAAAGAAAAAAAGAAATAGGTCGCATAAAAATAGAAATTTCTAAATCAAGCAACAGTGAAGCCAGTGACTTTAAAATATGAATGATTATGTGTAAACATAGAAGAGGCGACGTATTGGTTAATATCATCCTGAGGATTGTGGCAGATCTCTGCATGGCCGTAATCTGGGGACGTGAAAAGAGCCTTAACCTGATGGATTTGAATTATCCACTTTGGAATTTCTTTTTGTGTTGATAAACATATTATAATTATCTTGAGTCACAAGGCAAGAGAATTATGCTGGGGCATGCAGAAGATCGGGTTGTTACCCACTACGATGATGGGAATTAATAATCCTGATGAAATCCACAATTATTACTATTTGGAATATAATTACAATGTCACTCGGGTGGTTGTTTTTACCTTTATACATATAAGAAGATATTTACTACTGATGGGGGCAGATATGATTGAAGATTCTGAATAAACTGTTGCACCAGCAAGTTATGTTACCCTATTATGGATGTTGGTTCTACCAATCTAGTGGAAAGACCTCAAAGAAGATATTATATGGACTATAAATTTAAAGTCATTGTCTTTTCTTTTTTTATTTAGATATAATGGAATATATAGACATATATTTTTAAGTAGTGTGGGCAGTGAATCAAAGATATTAAGAATTGTTGTGTATGGTAATTTTGCATGATAGTGGGTGAATAAGCTAGTTAGTAGATTGATTAGTCTAAGAAAAGGGATTTTCAAGTGATATATTTTGGGGAGTGGAGGAAATGGATAGAGTGGAATAAATGTTAAACTAGATTTTATGGGGAAGGCCGCTTTGAAATGTTATAGTAATATATATAGAAGATTAAATGTTAATGTAGGATTTATCGTATAGTTTTAAAGTGGAAGGAGGTCTTGAATTGTTGTAATAATATATAGATACAAGCTTGGGAGAGGTGAAAAAGGGCAGATTATTGCCAAATTGGGAGTTATAATACTATTATGCTAAATTAGAAGTTATTCTATAATATTATAGTGTAATGTCTTTTTTTTTCCTTTCTTTTCTCTTTTCTGAAATGTATGGATAAAGGGGGATGTTATAATATTAATAATATTTTTAGTAAGTAAAGGTCAATATTTAGAGGAGGGAGTAAGTAATCTGTTATGAATTAGGTTTTTTTTTTGTCATGAAGAAGTCACAGGGGGGATGGGTGGGGAGGGGGGGTTAGGGAGGGGGAGGGAGAGGGGGAAAAAAGGGGGGGAAATTTGTACTTGAAAACTTTTTCAATTAAAAAAAAAAAACAAAGTTAACAAAACAGAATCTTGCCAAATCAAGATAACTATCCACGTAACCCAGCATTTTGTGTCTCAACAGGACCCACATGGGCATTGGGAAGCTCACCAGCAGGGGCACATTACATCAAACTTGTCGACTTCTTGAGGCCACAAAAAGAGAAGAAAATCCACACCCCTTTCTTCCCATACTACATATACTTGCTTTCATCTATTCACTTCTCCATTTTGATGTCATCATATCCTTTTCTCTTCTCTGCTGCATCCCACTCCCCAACCTGACAATTAAGTTGCAAACACAGCTCAAAGCATCATGTCACAACAGAGTTAGAACACACGACTTTGCAGACCATCACATGTTAAGGAGACCTATCCCCATGATGTTTCAAAGAAGGGGACAAGAGTAATTGACACAGCTTTAGGGATAAAGGAGTATCACAAAAATAAAATTCTCTCTTTATTTATAAGGAGGAGACGGAGGCTGTTAGAAGTTCTGGGCCATACTGTTCAATGCATATGTTTCAACTCCATCCATAGCCAAGCAAAGATTGTAGATAGTATTCAACACAGAATCTCACAAAGCGTTAAAACATTTGAAATCATCTGAATTTTGATCTCTTACCAGTGGTTTAGTCTTCAGAGTTTTTGCATGTAGGGGACCTCTCTCCAGCAGAATTATTTTTTCTTCACCCCACATTAAACTGTGAAGAGAAGAACCGATGCCAGAAATACAAATGGCTGATTTTTATGGTCAGTATTAACATTACATTAACATAAGATACATAAATACATGCTGTGTCCAAACCTGTCTTCCAGAAATCTAGTCTATTCAGCAAACCAAATGGGAACATATTATGCTGCCAGTTCTTTGAGAAATGTGGCTAGTTTGAATGACAAGTACAAACATTAACGCAAGAGAAATTTGGGGGAAAGGAGTGAGGGGAAGCTTTAAATAGCAGCACAATATGCTGGGGAACAAAGTTTGCCTCTGGAGAAGAACCCAGGAGTAACAGAGAATACGGTGAGGAAAAAAGAGCCCATTTCTTTTGAAGCCAACTCTCTAGGAGAGACCGTTTGGTATAATGGGCAAGGCTGTGGGTTAAAAACTTCTAGTTAAGCCTAGGAAAGGAAGTGTATTGTTTCTGATGTTATCACATACAGCATATACAAATAATCAACAGGTCTCTGACAATAGAAGATTACTTATTTATGCAGATGATATAGCAGTGGCCATGGAAGGATCAGGTTTCAATGAGTTAGGTGGAAGACTCACTGTAGCACTTGAAAAATTAGGATGGTGTTATACACTGTCAATCATCTGCAGCTCAGTCCATGCAAGACCCAAGTGTGTGTTGTTCATCCCTGAAATTGAGGTGCAGGGGTTGAGTTGCATGGCAAGATAATTGAATACAGCATTGGACTACACCGAAGTAGCTTGGTATGAGTCTTGATAGGACATTTTCATTTAAACAACATTGCCTGAATACTAAGGCTAAAATCAGCACGAGGAATAAGATTATCAGAAAACTGACAAATTATATAAAATATGCGGTGCTCAGCCACCCACTCTGCAGACATCGGTTTTGGCCCTGTGTATTTCAGCAACGGGTTTGATGATGGGCAAGGCACTTTTAACCCAGTGCCTTGCCCACAGCATCAAATTGGCTCTCCTATGGAGCCCATCCACACTCATAGAGCAAGTTGACATTGCTGTCAATGAAGCAGTATGCATCATGACAAGATGCCTTAAACCCACACCAGTTGAGAAAGTGTTGTTGGGATTGCTTCACCTAGGATTAAGAGAGTAGTAGCAGCAGGTGTTGAGAGAACCAAACAACAGAGTGATCCCCAGCTTCCTCTGAATGGACAGGAGCCCCAAACACATCAACTTAGATCCAGTCAGAGTTTTATGGAACAAAGAAATAGTCTTGAAGGCCCGCAAGACCTAAAATGAATTAGAAGATGGAGGAGAGAATTTACAGAACAAGAAATAATCCCAGAAGAGAATGTGGCTGAGGGATTTGATCTCCCCTATGTTACTTGGAGGACGTTGAATAGGCAGAGGGTGGGAGTGCCTAAATATGAGGCCAATATCCTCAAGTGGGGGTTGCTGCAGGATAACAACATGCAGTGTGAATGTCAGGATGAGAGCCTGGCCCACTTGTTGGACTGTCAATTACTACCAATTAGAGTGCCCCAAAAGTTATTTGTCCCTGGCCAATGATAAAACAGAAAAGGTGGCCTAATTTTGGCAGTTTAAGGTTTGATCGGGACATTAAAAGAAAGAAAGAAAGAAAGAAAGAGAGAGAGAGAGAGAGAGAGAGAGAGAGAGAGAGAGAGAGAGAGAGAGAAAGAAAGAAAAAAGAAAGAAAGAAAGAAAGAAAGAAAGAAAGAAAGAAAGAAAGAAAGAAAGAAAGAAAGAAAGAAAGAAAGAAAGAAAGCTCAGACATGGTGTTCGGGCTCTGCTAAGGCTTTGGTTCTGAGGAGAGTGATTCCCACAGGGACAAAGCTTTAAATCTCACTTTGTCCCACAGGATGAAGCACCCATGATCCATCCTTATATTTCAGGAATTGAATCGTCCTGATCTAAAACCAATTCTAGAACCATTTCAAACACCATTTCCCCTTTAATCCACAGCTGGACTCAACACTCTTCCAGAAAGACTGCTACTTAAAGAAAACACCTCCTCTGTCCTAAGTGAGTGGCTTCATAAACAGCAAGAAATGGATACTACAAAATCACATGGATTCTCCCTAGCCAGCTTCCTTGTCCTCATGTTCTTGGGAGATCTCACAGAGGCCTGCAGCACATGTCGGGAAATATCTCTCCGGGATGCATGTTGCACACATGACTTCGGTGAGTTTTGAAAATGAATGCTTTTCTCCCTTCCATCTTTTAGTATTCCCCACTCATCTATTTTGTAGGCTTTGCTGCCAGCATTAATCCTTCCAGTTGCAGCAAAATCATTCCTATGGCATTAAAGTTGAACATATTATTTATTTCACAAGCCTTTGTGCAGAAGACTAACCAGCACCATCTAGTTGGCTTTGTATTGAGAAATCTGCAGTTTAAACCTCTTACTGGAAAAACTCCCTCCCTCCCTTCCTCCCTCTCTTTCTCTCTCTCTGCAGTGATGAGGGTCCAATTTATGAGTGTCAGGCGGGATCCTGAGTTTCCTATACATCTAAATATGTTTAGTATTCAGCCCATCCAGGTAAGCCTCTCATCTTCCTGAAACTTATGATGAAGAGCAAGTTGACAGATATTCAGTCTTTTGTGAAGGGATATTGTTCCTCTCATGACAAATTCTTCTGACCTGTTCTTGTCCTTATCATATACAGAATTATTATTTTTTCTGAAGGTATTCAAAGGTCCAATGTACTTAAGAAATGCACGGGTTCTTTACAGCCCAGAAGAAGAGTATTACTGTGGATATCAACACAGAGGCCCTCTCAGAGGAGATGACTACTAATTTCAGGTAGTGAACACCAATTATCTAGTAACAGAACAATTAATACATATATAAATTAAAGAGGATGGCACATTCCAAACCAATATTTTCAACATTATCTTTATTCCTAATCTAGTCTATATTATTTCTTGGTCACTTTTCATCCCATTTTTGGAGGGATAAGCCAGTGTCAGTGAAGCATTGTCGGTTCCCACAGAGATATGAAGCTTGCTTTAAAAGATTACTGATTTGTCGAGGAAAGGGGATGCAGTGGTGCAGTGGCTTCATAACACTGGAACTGCTGGCAGGAAATGGTCTGTACTCCAGTGGTTTCAGCCGAGCTCCATCAGACAGAGTGAGATCTCATCACTAGATCCCTAGCTCTTGTCTACCCAGTAGTTCAAAAGCGGACAATATTATAAGTAGATCAATGGGAACCATTTCAGTGGGAAAATTGCATTCATAGCATTGAACAGAATGAACTATTGGTAGCAATCTAGGCTGTCGGGACTGCATTGGGTCTACCCAATTCATAGATTTAACTGACATTGTATGCCATGCACTAATTAAATAATAAATGTTGAGAAAAGGATAAAGTTGGCTTGTTTGGAACTGACATCATTCCCTACTTAAAAAGTGGAGCAAATGAAAGAAAATTGTCAAGGACTTTTGACAAGTTACTGTGAACAAATCTTATCAGTTACATATTGACACCACTGTTATTTATCTTTTCTATTTCAAAAGGGTTGATTGATGACATTGGTCCTCAAATCAATAAGTGCCACTTAGCAAAACCATGGAATGAAGTAAGTCTTATAGACAAAATGAACCTGAATCGTGTCGCCGGTAAGGATTGCAGCACCATCTGTCCACGTGATTAAAATTCATGGCCTTCGCTGTCAATATACTACTGCATAGAGAATGACAAATAACCTGGATGTACCTGAATACTTGTTACAAGAAAGCAAATGTTCAAAACAAGATGAGCAGCAAAAAAATCTAATAAATGAAATGAAATAAAATAAAATGAGATTTAAGAGTGTCATTTATTTTTCAGATGTGTATGTTCTCCATGTCATTCCACCTTGCTATGTACAAAAGGAAAAAAAAAAACATAAATATCATTAATAAGCCATGGTAAACAAAGAAACACTGTACAATTCACTATCTTAAAAACAGTTTTCTGAAAAACAGCAATTCTATGACAATTCCCGAACAACAATTTAATAATTAAATTAACTTGTAATTTAATAGCAAGGTGCCATTTAAGAATGGAAAAACTCAGTTTTACCACTTTCTGAAAGGATGAGTTAGAAGCCATCTTCTCTCCAAAGGGATTGGGATTTCCCTAAGATTGGTGCTGTGATGGAAAGACATAATCTCCTAATCTCCCTTCAGTCCCGTTTATTTTATAGAAATCTGGGATTACTCTGATTATGATCTATGTATCGGAGATGTCAATCCGGGTTGGAGAAGGTGGTTCTGAAAATAGTGTCAACCACGTGGGTCTTTATTAGACAAAACCAGCCCTTGGATTTCCATTCAGAAAATTACAGGTAACCTGTGCAGGGCATTGATCAATTCCCCTCTGACTGCAACTGCCTAAGAAAGGAGTTAAACTACAGTAAAACAGTCCTCAAATTTTGCAGATAATCTAAAGAATAACAGGATTAATAGTATACAAACTACTGAACAGTACTAGCAGATGGGAATTACACAAACAAAGTCCTGGCAAATAATATCAACTATAAAACCAAAGTTGTTTCTCTCCCAGGCCTGGGTTTAAATCCTGACTGAAGGGGACCCTGCCAAAAACATGCTGTTTCTCCAGTGCCTTGTAACTGCCTTCCTACTATCTTCTCCCAGAAAGGAAGGCTTCAGATGGGGTGGTCTTCAAATGGGCCAGATATAGATAGTGTATTCTATTCAAATCATTTACATTACTGGCACAAAGAAAGGAAATTTCCCTCTTCTGTATCTAGTATGGAACATTTGAAGAATACGTACAAGAAGATCCAAGTTACAGTGAAAATTCAGCAGGGTAATCCATTGCAAACGTTCAGTCAGCAGACTGGGAAGTCTGGTGCTTTCAGAAGCATCTATGGAACCTGTGCACCTAGGCTTCTATGGAGAGGGAACTCAATACGAAGATGGGTAGCAATAAATTTCTTCTGCTAATCAATACAGTATGTATAGTCATGATCAGAGGGAATGTTACTTAATATCACAAATTCAGTTTGCTTACAAGTTTCCCAATTTATACCTGCATATCTTGATCTTCCAAGTCTGAATACAGAGAATGGAGCCTCTGAGATTAGCAAAACATGCCCCAGGATGCATCAATCTGTGTTCATCATCATCTTTTAATGACCCCATAATGAATGACCGCAACTGAATGGAGCTAGTAGAATGTTTAATAGCCGGATGCCCTTCCTGTTGCCAATGCGGGGTTTTTGCTCAGCAGATATGTTCTCATGCTGCCCAGAGAGAGAAATATTTGCCTATATCTAGAATTGATCTCACAGCCTCCTGATTGTGAGGCAAGAACGTCACCTCTAGGCCACCGCACCACTCCGTGTGTCAATCTGTATTCCCTTTTCGAAACATCTGCATCCTTGGGATAGCATTGCACATTGAATTACAATTCATGGCCTCAACTGAAGCTATTGACCAAAACTCATTTGAGCAATGCAAGGTTGCCTTACATTTAGTCTTTTACTCTTTTACATTTACTCTTTTACATTTACTCTTAACTTTTAAGCATCCTAAAGTATAATAGATAACATTGTTTTTGTCTTACCTTATTCTTAAATGATGCTACTGAAACCATTTTACTAACACCCTTAAAAATGGAACGAGAGTCTTATTCTATGATGTAACGACTTGCTAACTCAATAACAGAGGGAGGTGCCATATTTACACTAAGAATGCAGAATGTTTCTTACAGGCCTTGCCAAAGTCCTAAATTAAATCCCACAGAGAACACAAAGCAAAGCCTTAAACATGCTAAGTCATCTTTCATTTCTATTCCTTCTTCAAATAGAGACCACCATCGAACTTCCAGGCCTAATTTTGCAAATTCCAGTCTCAAAAGCAACCTACTGTGACTGGAGCTAATATTCAAACATGTTTATATTTTATAAAATATGTAGAATCAGCTCCCTGCCCCCAGCAGATATTTGGCCCATTGAGCAGGACTAGGCCAGCCTATCTACAAGACAATTAGACCTCCAGCTCCAGGGTGATGGGATTAAGGCATGACCCTCCAGGACATAATAGGATTATCTATCAGCAGAGCTCACCCCATGGCACAAACAAGCCCCTTCATTGTATCACCCAGCAAGCTTCAATCAAACTTAATTCAGACAACCTAAAATGTTAGCTATGATCCCTACATAGCACCCTGGGTGTCTGACAACCAATAGAATACATTTCTTCCACAGGAACAGGAAGCTCAAGGGCAAGGCCCAAGAGAGGGTATAAATACCTCTCTCTCTCCTCCATATGCTCAGCTGTCCAGGACCTAAAACACATGTGGTCCTGTTCACCAATAAACCATCTTTCCAATCAGCCTCCATGTTTCCAATGTCTCTCCCCACTTGGAACTGAACCAGATGGACATTTCTTCTGACATCCTAAACAAGGAACTATCAATTAAGAGAAACTAACTGTAAACAACAGCCTAAAGAAGGAACCCTTAAGACCACACACCCCAACACTGACAGGGCAATCCACTAATTTATAAAAAGCAAGAACAAGGCCCACAACCTTTAGGACTGAAGATGTTAGTTTGTTAATGAAACATCTGTAAGAAAAGCACCCAAGCTCCGAGAGCTCTACGGACCACAACACTGAGCTACAAATAATCTCTTCTATTTGTACATACAGGTTTAACAGCCCAGTTTTCTCCATTAGCATTCAAGGAGGCAAGATTGTGAGTGATTTCAAATTAGATATAAAAGTTTACTAAAATAATCAGGATGTGAAATGGGCTCTGTGTGGGTGAACAATGCCCAGCAAAGATCACAATTAATTGGATGAAGTGGAGAAAAAGAAGAAGGCCAAAGAAAACCTGGGGCCAAATATTTTAGGAAGATCTGAAACTTTAAATGGAAGGATGCAGAGACTGTAGCTGTGGACCAAGAACTGTGGAGGACTCTTGTAACCCAATGTGCTTGGTACAGGATGTGAGAGAGGAAATGTGGAGGGACACTGCACGCTCCCTTGATCATAATAAGTGTGTCTTGGGATCCTCATGTGAAATTGATCGATAGCAGATTCAAGACAGATAAAAGAAAGGTACATGCTGGACTTCCTGAAAGATCTCAGGAAGTAGGTGATTGTTCTGATGCACCTGCATTCCTTTTATATTGCTATGTTCTTAAATGGATGGATGGATGTAACTGCATAAGGAGGTGGAACATGTAGAGCTAGTCTAGAGACAGTTCATTAGCCTTGCATCCTCAAAACCTATTCAGCATTTCTAAGTGAGCTATAAGAATGCAACTCATAAATTAATGGCTCTCTTGGTTCTGCAATGGCCAGGAAAACGTGATCAGCTTGTCTCACTATTAGTAAGGCAATGGAGGGTATAATAAGTTAGCGTTTATTAGGATATTGAATATAAGTAGCTGGGACAGTAAAATACACAATGGGCCAGAACACACAGTTGTAGTTGATTGGTTGGAAAGTGCTGGCTCATGCATGAGGCAATCTATGCTGTGTTTGGTTGCTGTGGGGGGTTAAAGGATGAGTTTCCCTTTTCTCCCACCTTTCTTCTGTGTGTTCTGTGTGCTGTCCGATTTACCTCATGATGTTCATGTGTTCCTGACTATCTTGTCTGCTGTAAATATAAATGATAAAATATATTTATTTATATAAACTCACAAGTTTGTGTCAGTGTCTTTGACTTCATTTGGGCTGCTGATCCACAATTCCTTGAGAGGGTTGGGTGTGGGAAACTGGAGTGCAAACCACATTCACCAATT